GCAGCAATCCCTTCATCTGTGACCTCCTCCAGGTGACTGATGGCTAAGGCTCCAAGCTCTGCTCCCAACTGACACACAATAAACACATTCAGCTTAACAAGGTTGTCATTCTAATGGCTACACATTTCTCCATCATAGTATTGAAACAATATGTCCGTTAACTGATCAGCTGTTATCAAAATGATTCATCAAGAAGAAAGAAAAACAAAACTGTCTGGTTAAAGCATCCAAAAGCTGCAGCTCAACATTATCAACATTTTAAATCAATATCTTTTGATTTTCAGCTGCCTCCAAAACTGGAGTGAAGCATTTTTCACAATTTGGACATTTCATGGGCAGCTACAGAACATAAATCAGAAAAAAACATGCGAGGGGTGATTTAGAAATGTTGTCATTTAGCAGCAAAGCAGCTCCTCGTCCATTATTTACAACACTCAGCACTATCTGCAGCACATGTAGCAGAGCAGGCATCACAGCTGATTATGTACCAAAAGCTAGAAACTAGCAGCTAACACACACACAAAAAAAATGGAGTTGGTGGAAACTCAGAGTGAAAACTGTGAATCTTGTGATTGGCATGTGTCAGGTGACCAGAAAAAAACTATTCCAAACGGCTGATTAATTTAATTTAATTTCTGCTTAATGTGTTCTGGAAAGCTACTTTAATTATAACAACCACACTCAACACTAAATCAAACTTTTGTGAAGATAAGGTGCTTTAAAGAGGTGTTTATACAACTTTCAAGTAATTTTACCATGCTGTTGAAACATATTGTCTACTAAACCTCCACCCAGTGAGATATATATATATATGTACGGAGGACAAAATCTCAGAGGTGGGAGTTCTTCTCTTAGTTGGTCAAAAAACGGCTCATATAGCTTCAGCAGTGACTGATACCTGAGCAGAGTTCATGGGATGAAGCTCGTCTCCATGGAAGTTGATGTTGAGGCCCATGTCTTTTCCAGCCTGCAGGATGGAGCGAGTGGAGCTGAGGTCAAACACTCCCTGCTCACAAAACACGTCGATGTTGTCGACCCTCAGAGTCCCAGCGGACATGAGCTGTTTCAGCCGAGGCAGCTGAACCTGCAGGATGTCCTGTGTGGCCTCTGCAACAGTCTTCCCCCTGGGAAAAAAAGATGAGAGGAGGAGAGGCAGGGTAAAGGTAGTTAAGGATGAAATGCAGAAGTTGGTATAACTTACTTGGGCACTGCATGAGCTCCACAGTAGGTTGAGGAGATGTTGATGGGCAGAGAGCGTCTGGCCTCCTCGATCACCTGCAGCATCTTGAGCTCAGTCTGCAGCTCCAGGCCGTATCCACTCTTACACTCCACCAGGGTGGTTCCTGCTCGCTGCATCCGAACCAACCTGCTGCTGAGGGAAGTCAGCAGGTCCGAGGCGGCGGCAGCTCGAGTGTGCTGCACCGTGAAGTGGATCCCTCCCCCGGCCCGGTGCACGTCCATGTAGGTGGCTCCTGCCAGCTGCAGAGCAACAGAGGATGTATTTCATTTAAAGTGTAGATGCAGTTCAGTCGTGAAGGCAGATTAAAAAAAAAAGATACTGCGTGTCATAATTTACCTTCATTGCAAACTCGTGCACCCTGTCTCCAGCCCAGACTGGGTGGGTGTGAGCATCAACCAAGCCTGAAACAAGAAGCTTTTTAAATGCTGATGTGGATGTTAAGAGCGTTAAAAGTACTGTCAATGAAAGTAAAACTGCAATTATTATCTGAAAATGTCCTTCCACTTCAAGTACTAACACTGTAGAAAAACACCCAGATGTTTTATTACACAGAACATTATTAGATGTTTAACACTGAAGGATCAGTCTGTAAGCAGCAGTTTAACTACTTTATAATCGAGCACTACTAGTGTGTGCTGTCAGCTAGTTTAGACAGCTGGCTCCCAACCTGTGGTATGGGTCCCTTCAAAGGGTCACAACAAGTTAAAACTGTGGCATCATAAGATGATTAATGTGAGACAAAAGTGGAAAACATCCTCTCTTATACATTTTTTTTTTCTTTTACTGGCATCTCTTCATTAGAAAATATGTCAGAATTTAGGCTACATTCACACTAATATGTTTCCATTTTGAAATGAGTGTCTCAGTTTCTTTACAGAAGTAATGTCTGTGCACATGAACACACCACGAAGGTGTAGATCACACGACAATTCAGGTACAGTGTGGGTGTCAGTGTAAAGATGAAGCAGGGAGTTAGCGGCTGAGTTGTACCACAGAGGAAGAACAGCAACAATAAGAAGTAGTTTCAGAAAACAGTCGTGTGACAGGAGCATTGTGAATCAGAATCTATCAGAGTACAAGCCAAAAGGTTGGGAGTATTTAATGTAATCTTTAATAATGTATTGTATGAGTGTAGCCAATGTTTGTGTAAAGCACCAACTAAGTATAGCGGTGATATAAATGTGTAGATAAAAGTACATTATTTCTCTGGAAAGCAGAGTTACCTAAAATTGTACCTAATTTTCCTCACTGGTAAACAGTCCAAAAACTGCTGCTTGCATGCTGATCCAGAATATTATTATTTTTGGCTGCTGAACCCACACACAAACACGAGCGGACACTCACCAGGCAGGACGCACATTCCTGTAGCATCAATCACTTTCTCAAATGAAGCCTCTGAATACTGAGCTCTGATGGTTTCTGCAGGCCCCACATCTTTAATCAGGCCATCACTGGGAGCAGAAATTACATTCATTAACGCCAACCGTCACTTTAGAGGACAGCTTGGAGCCAAAACCAACAGCTGAGGCTGACAAAGTGCAGCTTAGGCTAATAAAAGTAGAGCCTCACATGTTCTAAAAACAGAAGAAAGTACTGGATAAATTATAAGCATGGTA